ACAGTTAGGAAACGGGGAGGAGGGGGGAGTGGTCAGCATGCCGGGGGTAGATGGGCAGGCCCATTTGGAGATGTGTGGTTCCCGCTTAACTCCCACATGGCCATCTGCTGGAAGACCCTAGGAGCCCCCTGAGGGGCCCCTACCCACAGGCAGGGCAGCCAGCTGAGCACCAGCTCCTCACAGGATGCTCCAAGGGAGACCCCTGCCCAGCACTGCCTGCAGCCCCAGCTCTGCTCCACCCTGCCCTGCAGGGGGATGGGAAGATGGGGGGGTTGGGAAGATGGGGGCATGGGCCCCTGTTGTCCCTTAGAGCTGCACCCCGGGCCACCTTGCACCCCGAAGATGCATCAGGGCAGATGCAGCCCCCAGCCTGTCCCCTGTGCCATCCACACCCTGGGCCCCCAGTGCTGATGCTGGCAGCCCGGCAGGAGGGGGTTAATGGAGCTGGGGCCAGCAGGCTGGGCTGGCCAGTGACAAGGGTGCTGGCTGTCCCAGAGGCAGTGGGGAAATCCAGAGGGCAGGAGCAGCCAGCCCCAACAGACGCGCCCCGCTCCCTGCCCGCCTGCGGACTGCTCTGCACGAGGGATGGCCCTGAGGAGAGGTGAGGCCCCCACGTGCCCCAGCCACTCACTTTGGGGGGGGGGCGACCATGTGCCCCCAAGCTCACTGGGGTAGGGGCTGCCCCCAGAGAGGGCTCAGCTCTAGGTGGGCCGGGGCTCTGGGAGCCCATGGGGGAAATGTGGCCACTCAGGGTGGTGGGGTGTCTGGCCCTGGAGAATCGCTGTTGCCTCCTGCCCCCTCCTCTCCTACCCGAGGGCCCAGGCTGGCAGCACAGGGCAGGAAGGGCACCCACACTGCTACCCCAGGGGCCCTGCCTTAGACCCTCCACTGGGCCAGGGCATGCTGCCTTCCCAGCTACTCGGAGGCCAGTCAATTGCCACCCTGTCCCCTCTTGGAGCCTAGACCAATCCAGCTGGTGTGTCCACCCTGGGACCCGAACTCTCAGAGACCAGAGAGAGGCCTAATGTGGTGGGCAGCCCAGTGCCCAGTGGAACTTATGGGGGATTGTTGCTGTGGAGCCTGGCATCCTTTGTCCTGTGCCACAACCCAACCTCCGGTGGGTCAGTGGCCTGGGGTCCCCATCTGCCCTTGAGGCCTGCACCCTCTTCCTCTCCCCACACCAGCACTGGGCCAAGCCCCTGGGTGCATGCCGGACACACTACGGAGGTGAGTACCCCCCAGTCGGAAGTCTAGCTGGGGCAGCGGGCATCCAGCTCACTGTCCAGACAATCAGGGCAGCAAGCGCATACCCACCCGAGCCTGCTCCAGAACATTCTCTCACACTTTCCTCCAGGCCTGCCTGGCAGCCTAGCCTGGCTTGAGTGTCCACCTTGGGGACGCAGATGAACACATGGCCTAGTGGCCAGGTCCCCAGCCTTCAGTTTTCTCTGGAACAGGCACTGCCACCCCGCTGGTCCTGTGGGGTGGAAAGGGCAGTTGGTTTTGAACCAGAGAACATCCCAGTCGTCCTGCCTGGTCTCCACTTCCCATTTAAGTGGGGGACCCAGATCTCAGCCCATACCTTCTCTGGTTCGGTCAGCAGTGCCTTCTCTAAACAGTTGCGTGCTGTGGTCCAGGTGTGTGGCTGAGGCCTGGAAGGTTCCACGTCTTGCTTGCCCTGGGCTCACATCCTGGGCTGCCTCAGTGCTGCCTCCCCAAGCCCCTCTCCCCACAGGAGGCCCGGCCCTGGTGGTGCTGCTGGTCTCCTGGGCAGTGCTGGGCTCCCACAGCCTGGAGGGAGTGGAGTCCGCGGCACCAGCAGACCCTGAAGGCCCCCAGTGCCCAGCCGTCTGCTCCTGCGGCCATGACGACTACACGGATGAGCTCAGCGTCTTCTGCAGCTCTCGGAACCTCACGCGGCTGCCCAGCGGCATCCCGGACGGCACCAGGGCCCTGTGGCTGGATGGAAACAACTTCTCCTTCATTCCCGCGGCCACCTTCCGGAACCTCTCTAGCCTGGGCTTCCTCAACCTGCAGGGCAGCGGGCTGGCCAGCCTGGAGCCGCAGGCGCTGCTGGGCCTGCAGAACCTGTACCACCTGCACCTGGAGCGGAACCAGCTGCGCAGCCTGGCGGCCCGCACCTTCCTGCCCACGCCGGGCCTGGCCTCGCTCGGCCTCAACAACAACCTGCTCAGCCGGGTAGACGAGGGCCTCTTCAGGGGCCTTGCCCACCTCTGGGACCTCAACCTGGGCTGGAACAGCCTGGCCGTGCTGCCCGACACTGCGTTCCAGGACCTGGCCAGCCTACGCGAGCTGGTGCTGGCGGGCAACAAGCTGGCCTACCTGCAGCCCGCGCTCTTCTGCGGCCTCAGCGAGCTCCGCGAGCTGGACCTGAGCAGAAATGCCCTGCGGAGCGTCAAAGCCAATGTCTTCGTCAAGTTGCCCAAGCTCCAGAAGCTCTACCTGGACCACAACCTCATCACTGCTGTGGCCCCAGGTGCCTTCCTGGGCATGAAGGCGCTGCGCTGGCTGGACCTGTCACACAACCGCGTAGGTGGCCTCCTGGAGGACACCTTCCCGGGGCTGCTGGGCCTGCATGTTCTGCGCCTCTCACACAATGCCATCGCCGGCCTACGGCCCCGGACCTTCAAGGACCTTCACTTCCTGGAGGAGCTGCAGCTTGGCTACAACCGTATCCGGCAGCTGCCAGAGGAGGCCTTCGAGGGCCTGGACCAGCTGGAGGTGCTGGCGCTCAACAACAACCAGCTCCAGGAGCTCAAAGCAGGCGTCTTCCTGGGCCTCTACAACCTGGCCGTCATGAACCTCTCTGGCAACTGTCTGAGGAACCTTCCAGAGCAGGCGTTCCAAGGCCTGGGCAAGCTGCACAGCCTGCACCTGGAGGGCAGCTGCCTGGGCTGCCTCGGCCCGCACACCTTCACCGGCCTCTCGGGGCTGCGCCGGCTCTTCCTCAAGGACAACGGCATCGCGGCCATTGATGAGCAGAGCCTGGGGGGGCTGGCCGAGCTGCTGGAGCTGGACCTCACCTCCAACCAGCTCACGCACCTGCCTGGCCAGCTCTTCCAGGGCCTCAGCCACCTGGAGTACCTCCTCCTCTCCCGCAACCGGCTGTCTGCGCTATCGGTGGATGCCCTGGGACCCCTGCAGCGCATCTTCTGGCTGGATGTGTCGCACAACCGCCTGGAGGCGCTGCCTGAGACTGTGCTTGCGCCACTGGGGCGGCTGCGCTACCTCAGCCTCCGGAACAACTCACTGCGGACCTTCGTGCCGCAGCCCCCCGGCCTGGAGCGCCTGTGGCTCGAGGGCAACCCCTGGGACTGCGGCTGCCCCCTCAAGGCCCTGAGGGCCTTCACCCTGCAGCACCCGGGCGTCGTGCCCCGCTTCGTCCAGGCCATGGCAGAGGGAGACAACGACCACCAGCCGCCCGCATACGCCTACAACAACATCACCTGCGCCAGCCCCCCCAGCATCTCGGGCCTTGACCTGCGTGATGTCGGCGAGGCCCACTTTGCCCACTGCTGACCCGAGGCTGCCCTGCGGTCTGGACGGGCCCTCGCCACCCCAGGGGACATGGACCTGGGACCTGTGGGCCCCAGCCTGGTCCCTGAGGGCCTGACCAGGAGGGTCGGGGACACAGCCTCCCCAACCATCATCAATTAAAAGCAACCCAATAAATGTGGCCACGTATGAGATTGTGTGGGGAGCTCAGGGAGGGAGAAGTGCTGGCTGGGCTGTGGGCCCCTCTATGCCATGACTGCCCCACCTCTGGCTGCCTTGGTCCCACATGCCCGTCCACAACCCTTCCTGTCCTGTGCCCAGACTCTTCTCGTCCACTAGTCCCCAGGCCCCATCCCCACTTGAGGAGCGGCGGGCACTTACTCAGGTCCTCCAGGAACCTCGGCATCTCATCCCCCTCGCTGGGCAGCATCCTTGGAGGTGGCCTGGTCCTGGGAAGCTGGGGCCCAGCTGCTCCTGCTGAGGCCAGCCTGGGGCCAGAAGCGGTGCAGACCCTCACTCTCCAGGTCCCTGTGCTCCTGGCCAAACCCCTCAACAGTTCTGCCCCTGCTCCCCCCACCCCCACAAGAAACATCCATCCTTGGTACACTCCTTGCCTCCCCATCTGCCCCCACGAAGTGGTACCTGAGGGCTGCTTCCCCAGGCCCCCTGCCACCCGTGCCCCAGGGACCGTTCCACATTCTCTACTGAGCACTCCACCTCTCCCATTGGGAAGAACAGCACACCATGCCACCATTCTGCTTTCCAGAACCTCCCCCTCCTGGCCTTCCTTGGAGCCGTGCAGGGAAAACCCCTGGGACTCTGTTTCACACTCACCTTTCTGCTCTTCAGCTCAACCCCTCAGGCCCGCAGCACGGAGGGCGGGGCGGGCACTTAGCTCTCACTGGGCCAAGCGTGGCCACTCACACATCGCAAGTTATCTGACAAACTCCCCAAACGTATCTTCACCCGAGTCTCCAGGAGCCTGTCGACGACAGGGCTGTTGGCCCAGTTCCTGGGACTTAGGAAGTGGACACTGTCTGCCACAGGACATGGTGACACTAAGCCAGGGAGGCGGGACCAGAGCAGAATGATCTAGAAAGGTCAGACCTGTGACCACGGCGGTGGAACGGGTTTATTTTGGGCTCCTCTGAATTACAAGTTTGACACCTTACTGGGTGCTGCTGCCTATTTCACCAGGATTATAGGCCCAGTGTGCTCCCAGACACACAAGCTTTGTGAACAATGTGGAGACTTGGCTGTCTGGGGCATGTGAGTACCGAGCTGCACCACCAGGGAGGTCAGGCCACGGCATCGCGACCTCACGCTATCCCCAGGCCCTGCCACAGGCCGACCAGGCGGAACCACTGACTGTCAGTGGCTCTGATGCTGAGATGCTGCTGAAGCACCAGAAATGTCCAGGGCAGGCCCACAGGGAGAGGAGCACATGGTGACGGCAACCCAGGGCCACGGGTTTCAGGAACCGTGCTGCCACCTCTGTTCCAGGCTGTGAGCACGAGCCCCACAGCACACAGAGGAGACATTCAAACTGCCTTGGTCAGGAGAGTCCAACAGGCGCCTCGTTCAGAATCTTCTGGGCTATGCAAGAGAGTGCGGTAAATGCGGGGCTCTCGGGGAACCCCCGGATGAAGTCTTGGCCCTCCTCCAGGCTCCGCGTGAGCTCGGGGTCCAGGGGCACAGAGCCTGGGAGAGAGAAAGGAAGGGGGCAGAGAAGGGGCCAGGTGGTGAGAGCAAAGCCCGGGGCCGGGAGGCCACGTCCACACTCCCCACGGCCCAGGAGCCCGCTGGCAGTGCCGCTTTAGCCGAGAGCAGACACCTCTTGCTGAGGTGCCTGGCAGGAAGGTACTCTTGGCCTCAGTCTCCACTGGAACGGCCAGCAACCCACCCAGCAGGCCCGGCCCCACCACCTCTCGGGCTCCGGCCACTGTAAGAAAGCACAGGGCAAGTGCTGGGGACATGGTCCCGTGCCACTGGCGTCCCTGATACAGGCAGAGCCTCAGCCGCCCCTCTGCACCTCCGTGGTCTCAGCAGGCGTCTTAGCCGCAGACACCCGCTCAAAGCCTGGGGGGCTGCCTCTCGCCAGTTGTTGGGAACCAGTTTGTTAGAGATGAGCTGACACTCGCAGCTCAGGGAAGACAGGACTTTCCACCCTCCTCTTCTCTTCCCTGGGTGCAGGAGGCGTAGGGAGGTAAGGCCATCTAGAGCAGGGGCCCCGGGGCAGCCCTGGCTCGCTCACCCAGGAAGGGGACTCCAGCGTGTCTGGCCAGCTCTTCGCCGCCTCCCCTGGAGAAGACGTTGGTGCACTCCTAGAACACAGAGGTGCGGGGTCCACCTCCAGGCCTCTCACCACCCTCAAAGGGGGATAGGCCGACCACCCACACCCCCGACTTCCTGCGACTTCCTACAACTCACTGTGCAGTGTGGGCAGACGAAGCCACTCATGTTCTCCACGACCCCGATCACCCGCAACCCCACCTTCTTACAGAAGGTCAGCTCCCGCCTCACGTCCCCTACGGACACTGCCTGGAGACCAGGAAAGAGACGGGACCAGCTGATGGGCATCCCGAAAACTCAGCCAAGGTGAGCGGAAAGAGTAGGGCAAAGCGCCTGCCCCAGTGTGAGGGTGCTCCCGTAGTACCTGGGGCGTGGTGACCACGACGGCCCCCAGGGGGCTGTAGGGGCGCAGGGTGTCCACCACGGCCATGTGCTCATCAGAGGTCCCTGGGGGTGTGTCCACAACCAGGTAGTCCAGCTGCCCCCAGGCCACATCGGACACAAACTGCTTTATCAGTGCTGTGGAGGGTGGCCCGGGGTCGGGGAGAGAGCAGGCGAGGCAGGGTCTCACAAAGGGGTCACACGAAGCCTGCTGCCTCCTCCCAGCCCTGGGGCAGGGTGGTGTCTGTGGGTTCCGGTACCACCGGGCACCCCGAGAGCTGCGTGTGCCATTCCTCACCAGGGGCAGGATGAGTACAGCAAGGTGGGGAGACCCTTCCCCACCCCACCCCACCCCACGGACTACTGATTGGGCCTTAACTGAGGATGGCTAGCGTGGACCTTCCTGGGGTAGGCATCTGTGCCCGAGAGAGGTGGCCTGTGGTGGAATGCCATGCCGGCGTGTCCTGGAAGCAGCCCCCACCCTGAGCTTGCTCTCACACCCAGCAGCCTCGCTCTGCCCACCGGAGGGAGTTTAATGCCATCTGCTTGTTCAAAGGCACCAGAGCCCCACCAGGCACCCCACGCTGGGCGGTCTGAGCCCCAGGGGATGGACCAGCTGGCTGAAGGCTTCACAGCTGGGTCTCATGCTCTTGCCCCCAGGCCCGCTGTCCGAATACTTGCGGGCTGACTGCTCAGGTGCACAGCAGGAGAGTCTTGGAAATGAAAAGGCCAGCACTAGAGTCTTTGGAACTTTACCCGAGGCTGGTGCTGTGGGGGGAGGGCTGTGTGGAGGAGAGCCAGCAGCCCTGGGGCTCCTGCACCAAGAGGGCAGCTGGGGAGGCCAGCAGGCTGACAGTGCTGTCTCCTGTCCGGTCATTACCGTTCTTCTTGGGGCCTCTCCACACCACTGCCTCATCCGGCTTCTCTAGCAGGAAGCCCACAGACATGAGAGAGATGCTCTGCTCCTGGTCCACGAAGACAGGCACCCAGCCACTGTCGCACTGATGCACAGCCTTGCCCTGCACCCGGAGCATGTGGGGGATGCTGGGGCCACACAGGTCCACGTCGAGGATACCCACCTGCAAGGAGGCAGGACGTCCACACGGCATACAGGGCACCGGCCAAGGCCCACAAGGGGCAGGGGTGGCGGCTCAGGAGATGGGAGGCACTCACCTTCTTGCCCGCGTGGCGCAGGGCCAGGGCCAGCTCCGTGGAGATGGTGCTTTTCCCAACACCCCCCTTTCCCGAGAGAACGAGGACGATGTGCCGGACGCCGGCCAGGTTTCCAGGCTCTAGTCAGAAGGACAACAGGGGAGGAGGGCAGGGCTCTCCTTCATACCAGCCGCCCTCCATGCTCATTCACTGCGGTGTCACCAGATACTTCCTACATCCCAGATCCTGAGACCAGGGCAGTCCTGAGACCTGCTCCATCACCCGGGCATGAGCAAACAGGCCCCTGTGAAAGGGCTTCCAGCAGGCCCCAGACCCAACCTACCAGTTCCTCAAAAATGGCTGCTCCCATTCTGTCTGGAGTGGGGCTGCTGGGGCAGGAAATGCCTCAAACTGCTCCTCTTTCCAGCATGCATACCTGTGAGCTCATGCGCACAAGGCCAATTCGAGCCAAAGACTCCCAGCTGATTCCAAGGGAAATGGGCAGAGACTAACGTAGAGTGCTCGTTGCAGTCAGGAGGTACACCTGTGCCAGGGCAGCACTCACGGCTCTGAGGTCTGATCTGTAGGTGCCCAACCCCCTCCCCTGGGGTCAGAAGAGGCACTCAAGGCAGCCCTGGCCTCCAGTTCTCAGGAGGGAGGCCACAGCTCTGGGGAAGCAACCACAATCATGTGGGTGCAGATGTCAGGTCACCTGGATGGCTGAAGATCGTGCCTTAAGAAACCCTGGGTACACAAGGGTGGCCAAGGCATCAGTGCCATGCCCAGGCAGGCCCGGGTCCAGCCACTCTGGGAAGCCCTGTTGGTCGCTCTGCCCCAGCTGCTCTTCCTGTCAATGAGCCTGAAATGCCACCCTGTAAATACTCACCATTCCAATCCCTGCCTCCCCACAGCGGCTGCCATCTGCATACAAACAACCCTCAAACCCCCAGCAAAATGCCCACCTTCTTGCCCCAGCGCCCTTAGGACCTCACCATCAAGACTCCTGCCTGGCTTGCAGCAAGCCGCTCACTCACTCCACCACCCTCACTGCATACCCGGGTCCCCAGGAGGGCCTCAACAAAAGGTGAATAAACACTGTCCCCCCTCCTGACCCATCTCTCATGGGTAAGTTCAAAGACCCCGCCACCAAAGGCTCCCTAGAAAGAACTCAGAGTGCTCCTGGCCTGGCTTTCCAGCAGGTCCTTGTCACAAGTGCGTTCTAGCGCCTGTCCTGGGTCTCCGTCTGGTACTGGGGGCCGAGAGATCTCGTAAGGTGACAAGGAAAGGGCACCCCCCCCCCAACCACCCAGATCATTGCCTACAAATACCTTGGACACCATGCCTCAGGCCACCTCTGTGTCAACTTAAAAGGCTATTACTTAAATTGCTTTAATATCAAAAACTACTTGGGAATCAATTTCATCTTTCTTTGGTGTGGGGAGGGGTGCTCTGGTAGAAACTAGGGAA